ACGTTGATAAAAGGAACTGTTTTTTGTTTATTTGTTGGAAACCACAAAAACCAATTGGTTCTCTTCTGATTGAACGCGGCACCAGCTATGCCGTCTCATGGCCTCAGAAAGACCTTTCACTCACCTCTTAAATCACCAAGATCGGCTAGACATTCAAGAAGGATTTCCCTTCGAGCAACTGAAATACAGGTTTTCTGACCTCAGTAGGGAATGCGAAAAGGTCTGTGGTGTGCAGGAAAGTGACGACGATTAGGTTGGGTGAACATTCAGGATTTGTGACAAAAGAAGACGTATAGGATGCTTAAGTGAAACGCGCATGTATGACGGTTTTACCCATTCCGTTGCGCGGTTCTATCAATTTATTTTCGAGTTGGGTTTGGGTGTTAGGGATGGACGAAATTAGTGATCCTGGCCAGATATGCTCCTGTGGTTGATAAGGGCGCGATTGTGAACAAGTGCCTGCTTTCTCAGAGCGAGAGGAGAAAGGGTGCGGAATTACTACTATACCCCAGGCGCATTCACCCCAGATTTTGCCGGATCATAAATCACATTGAGCAGCCCTTCACTCTCTCTTTATGTTTCTTTCTGTCCGACATATCTCAATCCGATTTCGAACTCCATTTGTTGAAAACAGGATGATATTCCGTCAAGAGTCTGTGAGGGGATTTGTTGAAAGACTCGGAGCTGTGCCACAAATTCAGTATTCATCTGACTTTGAAAGTTTTTCGGCTTGCTCAACGGGGAGACAATGATGAAAGTTAAGAACGATCAAAAACCTTACTTATCCTAGGTGGACACTGCTAACGTTTAGCAGTTACAACTTGGTAAAAAGCTGCAACAAATAAAGAATAGATTTCGCGGATAAACTGTTAATCTTTAAGTGCATTTTTCTCTAAACTTTTTGAATACATATTCCGGAGAACGAAATACAGTATTGATTAAAAGTAAATGAGAAGCTTTTCCAATGGGGAATTTTCGAACATAACGCCATTTTTGCTGGCCTGCTCGAAGGGCAGCTACCAGTTCACAAAAGTAAAACAAAACAATTCTGCGACGCAGGATGCAAATGCAAACCAGAGCTGCAGAACGATGTGACAGAAGCACGAAGCGGATAGTTTTTTTTGAGTTTCACTAAATTTCTGATGAAAATTTTCGATTCTTAGTGTCAACCACGAGTATAATTACACCCGCCCATCCCGTCGGGAAACAAAGGTGATGGCAAAGCTATGAGTTTCATTGGTAAAAAGAGTTGCTTTCAAATTGCAAAAATGCGCGGTTGCTCTTTTCCCCATTTAATACTTACCATATTTGATAGGTTTTCAGATAGAGCGTGCATACATTGAAAACACTGACAACTTAGTAGAGTCGAGCAGCGAAAATTGGACACAAATTTCCGAGCTCCTTACAAGTCTTTTGTTTCAGAACTATTGCTAAGTTTTGCTCCTTATAAACACCACTCATGTTTCATTAGCCCGATCAGATCGGTCGATGCTAAGATTCCAGGCTCAAATGAAACGACGTGTACAAACGTTAGTCACGATCAAATCCACTTCGGGGGTACTGGTTCGCTGACTCTGACAGGAAGCCGTAATCAGAGCTGACGTTATTCCCTTTGATGGCCTATAAACCATACATATTACATTCATACGATAAATCGAGTTACCTTGAAGTGCGTAATATCTTGTGCATATGTCTGAACTTACTTAAAGGGAGGTGAGCTGAATCTGCCGGGGATAAGGCACCTGTGGTCGAATAGACACCTCCTCGTAGGTTGGACATGAAAGCCGAGGTAGTTGGAGGAAAGGGATAACTTTTCTGTGAATAAAAAATAGTAGTAGGTGAAATTTACACCATCACAAATAGCAATACGTGTTTGTCCACGCAACAGCCCTCGTCGATAGGGTAAACTTATGAGAAAAACTGATGAGCTGCAAAAAGAAAAAGTTTCCAACCAAAAGCGATTTTTCCCTATTCTTTTCACTCCGAAATTCGCTACAGCTTCCCTCAAATATGTTTATTCTGTTCTACGGAACCGTCCACATATTCTCCTTCACATCTGGCACTAATCTCATATCTCGCAGACCTAGCGACGTACGATGTGGGAGTCAGTGAACAGCACAGATGTGCAGTTACGCGGTTACATATATCAATCATTTTGTAGACAGAAATGTGCGCACATACATACATACATAGAAGCACTAACCAAATAAATGTGACTTTGGTCTTAGTGTGGTTACCTTGTTCTCGCTCAAGTAAATTCCTGGGAGCTCGTGGGAAATTCAGTCCGATCATCATGAAGGTAGCGTCAAATGACATACGTCCAATGAGCAATTTCAATACAAAGTTTGCATTTTGTGGCGACTGAGACGTATTTACTTTGGTTAGTTTTCCCGGTCAGCCCCGAGTCAAATGATCACGTAACAACCAGACCTTTTCCCGTCAAGCTTTAACCAAAACCCGCAATGCTTTAGCCACGACCCGTAGTCCTTTACCTCCACGAACAAACTTTAGTCCTACGACTACAGGTGAATCAGATCAAAATGTATCGGGTTATTCTAGGATCAAAGAATGTTGAAACATTTTTTTTCTACAAACGTTGATATTGCAAAGCTTGACCAAGAAGTGAGAAGATGGGGAGATCGTACGCTGCGCAGCTGACCGTCGTTATGGAATCAAATTCCGCACCACATATTGATTGAAATAAGTTTAAACGATGCGCCTGTATCATCAAATCATTGCGCTCATCTCGTATAGTTTCAGTATTTTCATCTCTACTGAAAGAAAAGACAACTGCTTTGAGTGCTCAGGTTAATCCACTCAGTCCAGTTCGTAGACTCACAAAAAGACCTCGTTGTTTTCTAGAAAGCCCCACTACAGCGCTGCCAATACCCAGTCTCAAATTCGACGACGAAGCAAGGACAGTACAGGATATTGCCAGAGATCAAGACTCGGCACAAATCATTGAACCTAAAGCACCCATTATTCAGGCGCACAATCCAGTATCGAAAAAAGCAATTAAGAACCCAGCAATAACAGTTATTTGCGCCAACGTGCCAGAGCCCACAACAAATGCACTGAGGGAGAAACAAGTAGAGGAGCTTGGTCGCTGGGCCGATTTATGTAATCAAATGGGTGTTAACGTTCACCCGGTTGGAATCGTGCTGCTGTTTCACCATCCATCGTTGCCGCATGCTGGGAAGCCACGATTTACTTGCGTAACATTTGCAGACGAGAAGGACCTGGAAAACGTTCTTCTCTCTAGTTACCTTCCTAAGAAAGATTCGTGTAGATCAAGAATACTTCTAGATAGGCCCTGGACGGAGCGTACACATATTGGACCGACTCAACAAACGCACGGCAGTCGGAGAACAAACGGGTTATTCTTATTCATGGAGTCCCTCAACTGGGCGATCCAGATGAATCCCTATGCCAATAAAACGATTGCAAAAAATGGAGTTTCATTTGAGAACTAATTAATTGTACCCAGGTTCTTACTACGGCAAGTAGTCGTCTACCCAGTTCACCGAACTACCACGGGAACGGCCCGAGAATAGTGAAAGTGACCCTCGGAACGCCAGAAATTGCCAACTCCGTATTGCAGTCGTGGATGAAGAATAGAAATAGGGGTCCGCCGGAATTACGCCTGAGACTACCACATAATACTGGATCCCAGCAAATTCCGAAAACGGAAACCGATACTAACACGCCACCTTCCTTGACTAGTGCATTTTTTATCACTCCATGTTCACCAAGCAGCATCGACGAAGCAGATTCTACAAAAAACAATGTTAGCCAACCCCCAGTTGGTCGGCAGAAACAACAGCACCCAGTAGGTTTCTTTGTCGACGATATCTTTCATGTTTTTATACCAATGCACGAGGTGACCTTGAATTTTCCGAGATGGAACTTCTTTTGAAAACTAATCGATCTCACGTTGTTGCCGTAACTGGAACCTGGATGATCAACGACATTCGCGACTCGGAATTGCGTCTGTCAGAAATGTCGCTGCTCAAGCGTGATCGTTCTACACGAGGTGGTGGAGTGTTGCTTTATCATCAAAACAATCCACAGAGTGAACAACTTGATATTCCCGAAGCAGCCTCCGATTCGTTATAGTCTTCATTTAGACTCTCCAAAAACGATCGGTGTCGTTTACAGACCTCCCGCATCTTCAGACTCAGCCAACGAGATTCTTTTACGAACCATGAGGAATGCATCACCACTAAGGTTCATCCATATCGTCATAATGGGTGATTTTAACTGTCCAAATCTCTTCAGAACGAGAATTTCCCGTCAGCCATTCAAGAGACTATTATCCCAGTTAGTTGGATTGCATCCATTGTACAAACACGTAGCAGAACCCACCAAATTTGGAGAAGGTCACGTACCATCAACACTGGATCTAGTGCTGATTAACGAGGAGCTGATGGTGGAATCTGTCAATGTCACGTCTCCACTAGGGCGTAGTGATCATCCTGTATTGAAGTTCGATTATTTAGGCNAAGCCATAATAGACTACAAAAAGCTGCAAAAGCTGGCAATACTCAAGCAATAGGTCCTCCCAGAAGACGATCACGATCCTTTGGTGGATGAAAAAGCTTCACTGATTATCTTACCGAAATTGTAACGGCTGAAACAAGTATAAAAACTTGTGTTTAATCTGAAACTCGACAGTCATTCATTCGCAGCCGGATAGGGCGAAGGAACAAAAGATGTCTATCTACCGAAACTTGGAAAAACTATTCCTTACCGCGAAACCATGTACCAAGTTTGTAAGAGAAGACCAATTAATGTACCAAGAAACTCTGGCTCAAAAATTCACTTCTGATCCAAATTGCTTCATAAACATATAAAATCTACACGGAAGGTGAAATACGGAATACCAGCATCTAGATCGTCTGGACATGCTTTAACCACTACCCTTGAAGCAGCAGAGTTCCTTAAAAAACAGTTCGCTCGGGTTTTACTGCAGCGACACACGAATCACTACAGATTATAAGCCAACTACCCTGTATAGCGCATCCGTCACTAGATAACATGGCTTTTGACAGTGAGAAGGTTAGAGCAAAACTACTAACTTGCGTAAGAATCCATCTCAAGGCGCAGACAACATGCATCCCCGGACTCTGATCTCGCTAGCCAATAACATTTCCAAACCTCTGGCTGTTGTTTGCCAAAGAATGTTCAACAAGGCAATAATTCTGCAGTCATGGAAAGAAGGGGTGATTCCCCCATTTACAAACAGGGCTCTCTCAGCGATTCCGCCAACTACCGTTCTGTTACACTTCTTCCGATACCGTCCAGAATCATGGAAGCTATGGTAGCAGATCGGTTGATGGAGTATCTGGAGAAGTATGAACTTTTGTCTCCAACTCAGCACGGATTTCGGCACAAACGTTCGTGCACCACAAATCTACTGCTTGCACGAGATGAGTGGACCAAATCCGTCGGTGCAGGCCAGCCATTGGATGTGGTTTCTTTGGACTTCCCCAAAGCATATGATCGAATAGACCGCCAAATTATACTGTGAAAACTCTTAGACTCTTTTTAGACTGGATCAAAGAGTTTTCCGACAAAGAACCATGTCAGTTCGTGTTGGTTTTGATTTGGTTGGTTTGATTCATTATCAGAGCTTATCAGAGCTGCCCGAGGGGTTCCTCAAGAATCCACACTGGGGCCTTGTCTCTCTCTTGCATTTATAAACGACCCGCCACATATCCTTAGGCCTAATACACTGCTATTTGCGGACGACGCTAAGAACTGGAGAACTGTAACGTCCAGAGGTTTATATAGCACTCCCACAAACGATCGATACAGCTCACCGATGGTTATTCGCCAATGACATCGAGTTCAACGTTTCCAAATGCAGAGTTTTTTTCCATGCGGCACAAGACTCGTTTCTCTTATGTTCTCGGGAACAAAATACTACCGCATGCTACTAACGAAAGGGATTTGGGAGTTATGGTACAGGAGGACGTAGGATGTTCCATGCACTGTGCCAGAGCATCATCCCTGGCTCTAAAACAAATCGGACTACTCAGACGTGTTTCAGGCAGTTCGAAAGAACATTGTCCCACGCTTGATATCAGCGTTTGTTCGGCCACACACGGAGTACGCCGTTCGAGTATGGAATCCATGATTGAACGGCGACAAGAAGGCTCTAGAAAGCCCACAAAGGCTGACAGCAAAATTGGTAAAAGGTCTGTATAACAAGACATACTCCGAAAGACTACAAATATTGGGACTCCACTCATCTCAATACAGCTGACTTCGGGGGGAGGGGACTTCATCTTGACATATCACATACTGCATCAACCCAACCACCCTTACCGTTCTATGCTGACTTTATCTCATAATGATCACCTCAGGGGATACTCACTAAAGGTGAAGACCCAGAACAGCCACCTTGATTGCCCGCATCACTCGTTTGCAGTCAGTGTGCGGCGTATGAAATTATCTTCCATCCGATGTAGTGTGTGCTTCTACAGTGGAACTATTTAAATCGCAACTTGATAAAGCATTGGAACACTTAAAATTTTCACATCCGTGAGTAATCATGAATATTATTATTATTATTTTCTGTTTGTGATGTTAATCAAAATATTCTGTAAAAATCCTATGGGGCATGACAAGCTTTAGTTTGTTTAAATCGCCCATAATAAAAAATTGACTTTGATCTAAACTGCGCTACTCCTGTAAGTAAAAGCGCCAAATGTAACACAAACGCTATATTGTTTTACATTCAGAAACTCTGAAACAAATCAAAACCTAATATGATAAAAAAGGAACGATGCTACGCCCTCCCTCTCCGCTTAACATGAAGTCCGTTTCTAGAAAGATAGATAAATTAACAGTTCGAGGATAATCAACACAAAAGACACTCCCTTCACGTCTGTTTCATCCAGCTTTAACCCGTAATTCTTGAGCCCCGACAGTCATAACTACGTCAAATGTTGCAGTGTTAATAAACTGATGATAATAATTGGGGTACATTGTTTTGAACGATTTTTATTATTCTCGGACTGTTAATGCATTGGAGAGTTTCACTGCCTTGAGTATCAAATGTTATACGGAAACACTGAAGCTGTACGAGATGTATCAAAAAGTTAGACGATACGGGCATACCGCATAAACCCTCTCCAATTAATAGGCGCTGCAGCATGCAACCGCCACACTTTCTCATTTCTTAATCAAGCTTTGCAACATCAACATTTGAAGAAAAGAAAATGTTTCAACATTCGTTGACCCCAGAATACTCTGATACATTTTGAACTGATTCGCCTACAGTGGTAAGACCAAGATTTGTGCAAGGACTGTGGTTCGCGGCTAAAGCTTGGTGAGATTTGGCTAAAGGGATTTGGGTCAAAGATTATGAGTCGAGGCTGAAGCATAGCGGGTTTTAGCTGAAGCTTGACGGTAAGAAAGGTAGATTATCACCGACATGCGTTAAAAACTATAATCACAAAACGGAAATAATGAGGACAATAGAACTTATCTGATTTCCTTTCCACACATTTTGAAACAGCACCAAATCACAAAAAATAGATTAAATTATTTTTATTTATTTTCAATGCTGTTCTCATAGTTGTGGTCAGTATTGAGGGAACCACAATGAGAAGACGAATCAATAGAGGATTTGTTCCGCAAAGAAAATTTTATCCAATACTTCTCAGCAGCCATTTACGTGTTCTGCACGATAATTAATTGGCGAATTATCTTATGCTCCAGGAAGGAGAGTGGCTGTATGAAATTTGATGGACTGGACAACTCAGTCCCCAGTTAGTAACGTGCTGTTTCGCGCGTTAACTTTTCAATACAATGGGATCATTAAGCAGATAACAGGATTTGCAAATTCAATTGACATTGGACTCAAAAACTAATACCACCAAAGAAAAACATATTTGAAAGCTTAGCGGGTAAAACCTCTCAGAGCACCTTCAATTATATCGGCATGTTGAATATTTCGTTAGCTAAGCCACTGCTCAAATCACTTTCAATATTATTGCAAACCTATGTTTGTTTTTCAATCAAAGCCCAACGCTTTGATAGGGGTTCATGGAAGCCTCTAACTGTTTCTAATTCATCGTTTTTGTGGTGAACTTGAAGCAAACTAGTGAAAATTAACTTACAACCGACACCTTGGTCGTGGATCCGATTTGGCAACCGGATGACAATTGCTTCTAAGAGCTAGTGTGGTCTGTAAATATGTTCAACCGATGGTTCAAATGGATGAAAAAACACCACAGAATACTGCTTACCTCATATATACCAAAAGTAAAAAAATTTGCCCCAAGACCTTAGTGAATAACGACTTCAGATGCGGATGATTACCATTTGAATGAACTTGACCAAAACGTCTCTGCACTTACCGGTTCCAATGTCCCCGCGCAAGGAAGTTGTAGTGGGGAGTAAGTCAACGACGAACTTCCAGCAGGGTTGACTGTGGGGATGAATGTGGGCACAAGCAGTGGTATGGGGAGTAAAGATTCGGGAGAGTATAAAAACGTGCTAGGTGAGGCGATTGGGAAAGTGGCAGCCGCGTAATCCAAATAAGACGATGGTGTCAACGGAGGACTACTGAAGAGGAGATCCGGAGATACCGGGATTACCAGAGGCTCTGGTGAGACCGCCGGAAGTGATGAACACGATAACTGATCACATAGGGCAGGATCTGGTCGATAGAGTAGGCGAGCGGCGGGTGGCACAGCATACGTCGGCTGTGGTTGGTAGGGTTTTCCAATATCTTGAAAACAGAGCTGAAGAGAATTACGCAAAGATGTCATGATGTATCAAAGGGGATTATCCGATTAAATGGGAACAGATTTTATCAGTCTCATGGATTGCAGCAAGATGATTGATACCGTTGTATAGTTTTTTCAAGTGACAAATCAACGATTTGGAAGGAATTACAGTGCATTGAAACTGTCATTGGTAAACGCAAATTTCTATTACCAATGAAACTGTTGGAATTTTCATGTTTGATAAAATTTCATAGAAGGTTATCGAATGAGTTGATTATTCACTCTATACGAATCTATAGCAACTTCTGGGGTTCTTTCTTTACTGCGGCTGGCTTTTGGAAAGGATAAACCGGCTCGAGACATGATCCTGATGAAGATCATCAAGTTCCTTGGGAGTTTGGTACGAGAGACGTCCCCAGCGTCACGCGGCGTTTTTTATTTTGAGGGCGCACCTCTAGCCTTTGCACAACCGAGTGCAAACTACAAGACAGCAGGAAGTAATTCATCGTCTCGGAAATGAGGGGGTCAATGATTTTAACTTTAAAAGGCCAGCCACATCGACCTTCGTCACGATACCGTCATTGGGCTTATGCGGCTTTTAAACAGGAGCCAGATGACCAGCCTGAAACTCACCACACCCTGGTAGTGCCACCGCTGTTTGTTCGCGACTGCTTATTTGTTGCGGTATGGCACAACTTATTCACAGCTACACTTCTTCAGTGAAGTTATCTCCCTATTCACAACCCAGGGACGCGCCTGGTAGCAATCAGCTCTGCTTAACCCGAGGTTTCCATATAAAGAAGTGGTCGGAACAGGACGATCGAATTGAAATCGTAGTTTTCGCATACTATCGAAATGGAAGCGCGAGAACAAATTAAAATTCATCCTACCTCCAAATATTTATTATATATTAAGTATATATATTCAATAAGTAAATCAAACTAGCTTGGATGGGTCATCCTATTTTCTGTTCTTTGACGTAGTCAACAATATGCATATACAAACTTTCTATTTGTTTAGAACATTTGCATCTAGCCTACGCGAACACGAAAAAGCTCTCCACAAATCCATGTCAGAACCTGTAAGAGATACCTGTTCGATCGACTGCAAAGATGTGTATTTTTAAACCTAAGCACAAAATTTCCCANNNNTATTTATTGTTAATGATGTGATGATTGGTAGTTCAATTTGGCACCCTATTCTTCTTCTACCACTTCTTATATTGTTCAATTTCACGTGAGTGAATATTTCATTTTCGACACTTCGTCATCGATTCAAGCAGATAACTAAAATCAGTGGGGGATTTGAAATATCCGTGCTAGCATCAGCCGAACTACTCCTTCAAGTCTAACGAATAACAGTCCAGGTCGTTTAATCGCTTCAAATGTCAAATGCAGTACACTCTTCTGAATTAAGATTGAAGCTATGAAACTCATGAAATAGATCAAATCGGTTGAGTTAAATGAGTAAATTTTTTCAGGTGATCTTTTTCGGAAATTCAGTGAATCCATCTCCAGGTTCTCCTTTCAGTAAACCCACTACAGAGATGTAATCTGTGAATAACCGAGTATTTTTACAGTTACCACGGAGAATGTTCTAATAGTAATAACGCGGCAATGTCGATAGAGAATTGTGCTCGCCGAAGTTTCGTTTACCGTGGGTACCCTTTCTTAAGGCAAGTCTTAGAATGAAATAACTTCGAGGAAAGGATCACAAGTCAACGGATGTTTTGTCGTGTTTGTGTGTGTGTGTGCGTGTGTGTATAAATTCCTGTGGTGGTCTGAATGATTTGTTGTCTGTCAAGTAGTACCGTGATCTTTGTTGTGATTACCCGTTAGTGATTTTAGGGCAGTCCAAATGCTCGGAATCTCAACTCCGTCGTTTCGGTTGACGCATGCAAGGTGGATGCTAATGGTCAAAGCTTGGGGATACGAGCGTCCAGTGCATGTTCGAATTTCGAGTTGGAGTACTTTCGGGTTATCGTAGTCTATGATGTTTCGGTTAACTGTAATTTGCTAATCCTAGTAATGAGATCGCACATCAGCCGCTTAATCGCGTCATATGTCCCTCTCGAATGCAGTACACTCCTCTAAATCAAAACCCTGTATTCTCGTAACAAATTGGAATGGAAACATGGGTTTGTACAACGTTTCAATGGTCAGTTCGCTGCATCTGTGACGGTTACCAACGAAGTCGGTGAAAGATCCACTAACCCCCTCCGCTAAATCAAACTGCAGTTACCAATTCAAGGGTGGATACTCAACCATCTGCATAGGCAGGACGGTGAGGCAATTACGTCACCGAATCGCGGAACTCATCCCGGTGTGGCTTAAGAAATCAATGGGCGACAAGTTTGAAACCGGTACGTCATCGAATGAGCGGGGTAGACTTAGATTTTCTATTACGCAACAATTTTTCGGACCAGAACGATGTGTCACTCCGACCCATGTGTTTCAGGTCATCCACAACACAACAAACACAAAGTTATTAAAATTTTCCGGGGCTCTTGCCATTCATACTCTCCGACCCGATCTATGCAAGCAACGCGAATGGTTAGTCACATTAGCTTTGCCTTGGTGATCGACCCCTACCCTCTCTCGACCCCTTTTTTGTGTGGTTGTGTAGTGTTGTGGTTAGTGAGCTTGTTTTCGTGTCATGGTTATTATCTCACTGACTATAATAATCAGTTTGACTGTAGCATGCAGTACGTGTACAGAGATGCAGCGAAATGACCATGTGGATATATTGTGTAAGCACCCATTTTTCTGATCTCTCTATTCAAATCAAATTTAATTAAACATGTGTTATGGAGTGGTCATAAACAACCTTGATTCGTATCCTTCAGTCCGATTTTGCCTAGTTTGGTACAGCTTCGCCAACCACTGTGCGAGTTTGTGCTGGAAAGAGTTAACCATTGATAGGATTGGTAATAGCGGGATCCCCGGTTTATGCAATTTCGGCAAAGGTTCGCGAAGCCGATTACTCCGATTAGTACCAAACTGTGCAAATTCGGACTGAAGGATAGATTTCAATCAAAAGAAGCTATACCAGACCGTAGTTGTTTTCTCGCCTCTTACGATATTAATTCATTGTTCACAAATGTCCGGGCTGAGGAAGCTGTGAACGAAGTATGTAAACATGCCAGTGAAATAGGTTTCCTCGCCAGTGATTTGACAACCTTGATTTGTTTGACACGAAGTATGACCTCAGACGTGTGCATTCACACCACCTCCCATGATGGACGGTTTTCTGAACGAACAATATCCGCGTTCAACCATCTGTTAGTGTTTCGAGTAACTGTGGTTTGTTAATTCTTGTATAATGAGATCTCACTTCAGTCCACCACAAAGAAATCCTCATTGGCCTGAAATTGTTCTTTATCCGTCTGTAGTAAATCGGGTCTGAACAAATACAAAGAAAGTGCACCACCATCAAGACAAGACTGCACCATGACGTGGCATGATGGTTTATGCACCTCACTGACCAAACCAGCTACACAGGATGGTTTTTATCGAGCCGAAGATCTACCTGGAAGGTCAGACGAAATTCGGTCACCTGGTCCTCTAGATTGGGGGTTCGACTGGAATTTGCGTTTCACTCAGTAAAAAATGGTGGAGGAGTAATCGTTCCAAGTAAATGGGCTCCACTCCGCTTCACCCGCTGCCTTGCAATTAGGTTCTTCTCGGAACTAAAGGCTTTGGTTGAGAATCCTAATCATTCTCCTGCTTAGTGATTGGACACCCTAGCAGTATCCGTCCACCAAAACCCCAATGCATATGCATTGCGAGTTTGGCAGCGATCAGTGAAGTTCGCTTTTCTATATTATGCTGTACGATGATGATGATGATGATGATGATGATGATGATGATGATGATGATGATGATGATGANATGAAATAAAAGCAACCTGTTCTATTTTTAACGGGGTGTTTAACCCTACCACGAGCTTTTCATTGAAGAAAGACAGTAATCAGTCTTTTCGGTTTCATTTGGAATAACCGTGAATCATGCCTATTAGTGTGGCGTTTTTGACTGTAGTCTTTTAACTTCGCATTTAGATAAATGAACAGAGGAAAGATTGGAATGTTAGAACAGCGTGAAATTACGGTTGCACGGATAATGGGCAATTACACAAACACCCAGCCACCACGTCACTCAGTGTCTCCAACCATCGACTACAATGATCCCGAGGTCTCCTTCAAGAAGCCTAACGTGAATTGGGTTACGTCCTCGAACTCTCAGGCACCCATCTGAGCTTCTTATTCAATTAGACGGGTTGTAAGCGAAATAAAAAGAAATGAGAAATTAGTTCGTAAGTTCGAGCCCTTCATCTGGAATGAAATCGCCAAGCAAGAACCAACAAACAAGTTCAATAAGATCAAGTGATCACACTGCTTTGAATAAATGGTTTCATCCACTCACTCGAACAAAAATCTGACACAGCTGATTGATACTCAGAGCCACGGAACGGGCAGATCCGGACAAAGTAATGGGACGGTCGGAAGAATTTGGCAAGACTTGAGCAGCTACTTGAATGTGAGCTCCTGTCACCTAGGTACCGGGTAGTTGAGATAAAATCATACCAAAAGATAGATAGATATTAATCATCGATATAAGACAGACTGAAAATTTCTAGGCAATAACACATTTGAGTATAACTTTAATCCACACTTCACTTCAATCCAAAAGCAGCGTGCCTTCAAAATGCATATATTTATACATGTATACATATAAAGATTATCGGATACGCATGCCTGACGAGCGGCAAGAACCGCGAAATCGGTCGCGTGCTTCCAGGGAAATTTTGTCTAGTCATTCACATACTACTTGTTATCAAATACATATATATGTATTCAACACCGGCCTAAGAACAAGCATGGTGCCAGAGCCACAAAAACAACAATAACGCGGGAGGAGGAGGTTGGGATACACAGTATTGGGAAAGAGACTGTCAGAATAAAAAATTATAAATGAATGGAGTAACAAGCTTTTTGTTTCACCGTACACTTTTTTAAATTTTTTGCTGTTTTTACGGGGCACGGGATTTTGACAGGCAGACCGTACAGCATTCGCACCACTGACTTCTATTCCAGACCATATATCTCAGCGTCTCTAATCAACGACAGTCCTCATTCTTTGGGCCCCAGCCTGGAAGGCGGGCTGCACCAACCGAAGCCAAAGCTGAAGCTAGCTTCCTCATATCTGTACGCCATGTCATTGTCTGACCGCCGCGGCGCTTCTTCCAGCCTTGCCCGGCACGTGCAAAGACAGCACGGAAAGGTACTCTGTGGGCAGGTATACGCGAAACGTGACCAAGCCATCGGAGGCGGTGTAGAGAGATTACTTCTGTTAGGGAACGACTANCTTGATGTGATCTCGTCCCCAACACCACCACCAGCTGCAATCAAGCTCCCGAGGTACCTAAAGTTCTCAACTACTTCTAGCTGATCAGTTTCAGTTCGTACAACCATAAACCACGCATATTCATGCGCCGGTTTTGGTTGCTGTCTTTTGGCTGCCCATTTGGATAAAGAATAGGAGAAGGAAAGTTGAAAGTAGAGTCGAAAAGAAAATGGAGAAGTTCAGTGGTCTAAGGTTGCGAAGAAATTGAGGCGATGCACGAACGCCACTGTTTACGACACCCAGCCATATCACTCACCACAGAGGCACAGGCACAGGCTCCTACCAGTCTTGAACCAGCACTTTGCACTTTGATGGTGCAAACCACATGCCATACCTGGAAACCTCGATCGCGAAGCGGTTCAAAGTCTCTTGGACTGCCTGTGTGTTGTCACCCGACAAAGCGATGTCATCAGCATATTTTAAGTCAAGAATTCTGTTCCCCGGGGAAGAGTTCAACTGCATCGTTTGCTAGACCTGACAAAGCGTTCTGTAGAACATCCTCTATGACAAAGTTGAGAAGGAATGGGGATACAGAACAGCCTTGTCGAACTCCACTGGAGACGGCGAAAGGTGGCGAAAGCTGGCCATAGGTCCTAACCCGACCTGAAGTATGACGATACAACTCTTTGAGGATCGAAACATACTTCTCTGGTACTCCATTCATCAACAAACACTTCCATAGTGCGCTACTAACGA